TTTTGAAGACACCATTTTTGGAATTATTATTTTTCTAAGTGGGAGTAGAGGAGCTTGTAGACAATATGGGATGTTCTTGATTATGTAGAGGATGGTTTATATAGGATATTGTTGTGTGAGATACTCCCTCTGTCCATTTTTAATTATCATGTTGCGCTTTTCGAAAGTCAATTTGACCAATTTTCAAAGATAAATTAGATTATATTAATTCGATATTTTAAACAAACAAAAAATAGATATTCAAAAGCTATACGAAAAATTCTATAAATTGCAATTTTTTTGCATATCAATATAATGAAAAAATACATCGTAAAATGTTAGCCAAAATTCTTATCGTTTGACTCTAAAAAAGAAAACCATGACAATTAATTAAAAGTGGACGGAGGGAATAATAAACTAGCAATGATTTACACACACACGTATATATATATATATATATATATATAGGTGTATATGTTGATAGATGATAGGGGTGTGAAATGAGCGAGTTGAATTATATTTGAGCCGATTAAAACTAAATAGAGTGAGTTGATAAATGATGACTCACTCAAATGTTATTAGGTTGATGTCAATGGGATCCTAATAACTTAATTCGCCCAATTTTTAAGAAGTTATGAATGTCTAACTTATTATTTGTATAATCACCAAAATATTTAATAAAATTTGTCTAGTTTAATGATGATTATCATAAATATTTTAATATAAAGTGAAAATAGAGGAAGTATAGTTTGAAAAAAAATACAAAAACTTTTTTGTTATATTCTATTTACTTCTGTCTGACCAAAAAAAATAAAAAGTTGCTAAGTGGCATTGTCTATTCTTATTTTTTATTGCTTTAATGTTTTTTTTTTCTTGCTGTGTGATATAGAAGTTTTTTCCCTCACGATTTGGACAGTGTTCAAAACTTTCAAAATCTTTCATCATGACAAAAATATTAAGGAATGAAGTACTGTGTGCTAATTAATTATTGACGTGTGATTAGTAGGTCAGTATAAATTTGAGTTATGAAAATAAATTTTGTAGAAATATAAAATAAGACTACATATAATAGATTCTTATGATCTTGTCATTTCTTGAACTCCTCGAATAATCGGAGTTTAATGCACAGGCTCCTAATTTATTTATTTTTTGAATTAACTTTTTGCATGATTGAGATGCCACTTTTGCTCATTTTCTCGTCCCTCCTAGGAGAATTTAAGAAGGTTTACATGAAATTATCCAACTCGTATTATCTTATATTTCAAGACCTATATTATTTGTTATCTATTTTAGGATTCGAATAATCTGAATTTACGTGTGATAATTTCACTTTGAAGTAAAATTCTTCCTATTAACTAAATGTGAATTTACACCTAAAATTTGAACTCGAGATCTCCGCTATAAAACAATTTTAGCTTCCAAAACCACTAACATTAATTTGGACCGCAAGAGTAGTTCTCTAGCTGAAAATATTTTAAACTTATCTTATATAGGAATTCAATTTTTCCATATATAAAATGGAATAAAAGAATAGTCGTTATCTAAGTAACTAAAGAGCTAATAAGTCTTATAATTAATGGAGAAAAAAGTATACATAGGTGGCAAGGCTTTAAATTAGGTGGTTGGAGAAATTCATTGCAAGTTATTTGTGGCGTTTTATTGTCCACATTGAGGTAGTTGTGTGATTAATTTTGCAATAAATTACTCTCTCCGTTCATTTTTATTTGTTATATTTCACTTTTCGAAAGTCAAATTATATGGACTTTGATTAACATTTTAAAATATATATTTTCATTATATTAATATGAGAAAGATCGATCATATGATTTTTGAACATCTAAATTTAAAATTTAAAATATTGAGTTAATATAATTCAACATGGCTCCAAAAATTAATCAAATTAACTTTTGCAAAACATGACAAGTAAATTCAAATTTTTTTTCTCACCCGGTAGCTAGTACCCTCATTGAAGTCTGACTAAATCCAATTTCGCGTAGGAGTCCCAGATTGAGGGGAAAAGTGCTTTTTAACGAAGACGATTTCGTACATAGGAGAACTCAAATCCAAAACCTTGATTAAAAATAGAAGGATATTTATCATTCTGCTACAACCTTATCAGATATATGCAAACCCTAGTTGCATGTTATCCATTACCCATATTTAAGCCATCTCCTTCATTGCAAAAGATGAAAAATAGGGTGCAAATAAATATACGTACCAATTTTAGAGGTGCAATATTAAATATTTTACCAGATGCACATAATACAATACTATATATAGTGTACCATATAACTAGACAACTGTAATGTGCACTTTTTGTAGGTCATTCCATTACAATATTTACTTCAACCACCCCTAAAATATAGTTGCCTTTTCTAGAGGTATATAATAATATAATTTGACTCATATTGGAAGTTAAATTTGATTAATTTAATTAAATATTTAAAAATTATGCAAAAAGTATTATATATGGTAATTCACCCCCCTCCCCCTCATATAATTAATATTATAATATGATCGTAAAAATAATACACATTAATATATTGATTAAAGTCCATATACTTTGACTATCGAGAAGCGAGTCATCAGAATATTTCGGAAAGGAAGGAGTAAAATGTAAGGAGAACTTTGGTTGGGATAACAAAATGCCAGTATATTATACACTGCTATTTCTTCTATAAATTGAGAGACGTTTCTTAAAAAGAAAAAAAAGGCCTATTAATTGTAATTTAATTTGTTTTACCACATTATCTATGGAATTAAAATCTGGATTAGAATAGTGGGAGTGAGTTAGAACACTTCTCGATTAGGATGGAATTGCATTAGGAATCAGCTCTTAGTATGTTCTTTTTTGTCTTACTGATGGACTAATTGACACGACGTATCCAAAGTGAGGTGTCATATATAGTGTATGTTATTTTTAGATGTAGATGACATAATATTGATTTGCAAGACGTGCAATGGAGTTAATGATAGATTAAAATTTTTGGAAAGAAGCTAAAGAGTCTAAAAGTTTCAAGTTAAGAAGGATTAAGTTAGAATACCAAGAGTATAAGTTTAGTAATGTGTTGTATGATGCGGAAGTGAAAATAAAGTTCGATACACTAGTCATATCCAAGAGAGAAACCTTCAAGTACCTTGGGTCCATTACTCAAAGAAACGTGGCAAATGATGATGATGACGCACATCAAATTAGAACGGGATGGGTGAAACAAAAGCTCACCTCTAGAGTACTATGCGATAAAAGTATGTCCCCAAGGCTTAAATCTAAGTTCTACCGAGTGGTGATTCGACCAACACTGTTTTATGAAGTAAAATGCTGATCAATAAAAAATGACTATGTTTTGAAGATGAAGATAGTTGAGATAAGGATGTTTAGATGGATATATGATTTTTTTTGAAATATAAGTAATTATATCTTGTTTTCACAAGTTAAATACGTAAAATAAAATTAAAATTAATAAAATAAATTGGAGGTCTGCTCTAATACAACAACAACAATTTCATTTGATTATTACTATGTATCAATTTCCAACTAGTTGTTATGATCGCCTAATGAATTCATACTATCTACTGTCAGAGAATATAGTGTAGCGGATGGGGCTATGCTTTTCTCTTAATCAGATGTCTTGGGTTTGATCCTTGAGTATGAGATTTTTTTGGTAGAGAGCACTTCCCCCAAATGGAGCTCTATGCGGCGTGAATCCGAAATAATAAGGCTCCAACGAATACTGAACACCAAATGAAAACTTTAATTGAAAAAAACAAAAAAAAAATCACTCTATAGAAATTTCTTTTACAAAATTAATCGAGTTTTAAAGCAGGTATCAAATATCAAATGAAAAAAAAAAGTTTGTGGGTGAACTTCCATATATCTACAACTGAATTAATTCCCACTCCACAATTAAAAAAATATTAATTAATACGATCCACATAAAATAAATGAGACCAATTAATAACATAGGTATACTTCTTTGTCATTATAATAAAAATAGAAATAAATACAGACTTATAGTTGAGAGTTGAAACAAAGAGCTATTATGAGAAGGATAAGACAAGTTTATGAATGTCGTGGAAGCACCTGCCGGATGTAGAGTTGGGGCTCGAGTTTTTCAGAATTTAATATTTTTAACGTCATACATAAATTTCTATAAAAATTATAAAATATGATAAATTTGAACTCATAATTTTAAATTTGTTCAACATCAAAAAACTTTAAAATTGAAACCATAAATTCAAATTCTTGATACGTCTCTGCGTGAAAGTCCATAGAAGTCATGTGTATCATGTATGATCTGTCGATATAGGAAACACATTGTTTGCTTAAACTCAATTGTTATTGTTGTATATGTAGTGTTGTGAGCAGATTCGAATTTAAAATTTTGAGTTCATGAGGTTAATTTTTTTTATAAAAAAGATAATTTATGATTTTGAATAAATTATTTAATTATATATATTCAATGAATTTTTAACATAAACATATGATTTTAGCTAAATTATAAGATTTTATCGTACACGTAGCTAGAATTCTAACTTTGATTGTGAGAGTTTTTAATTTTGTGAAATTTTTTAGCAAACAAAAAGTCATAATTAGGAAGACCAGCTCCTCATGATACCTTGTAAGATGAATCTTAAAACTTTTATGTTGAAATCTTTTAATAGTTTGGAGATGAAATGAGTAGAAAATTTATTCTTTATGGATGTATACCTTGTATTTGACATAAATAATACCAAAATATATAAATAAAAAATTGATTAAACTATATTTGTATTTTATATTTCAAATTATTGAATGCTGGAGTTATACTCTGATCATGACCAATTCTACACTTTAAAATGAAATGTAAATACAGTCGTAGACTCATGGCAATAATAAATCCAACAAAAATTGGGGTCAATCTCATAAAGAGTGTGCATGTGCCAAGGTAGATATATATAAAGACAATAAATATATTACTTTGCAAAACTAGAATTGTGAGGATTGATTCTTGAAGAAGAAAAGAAACTAATTAAGCTACTGCTAATTCCAAAGGTAAATATACATAAGACCATAAATAGATAAATAAATTTATTTATTTTACAAATTAGAAGCCACAAATACATCAACTTGAAGGAGCAATCAAACATTTAATTTATTTATTACAAATACAAACAGGCATCAGAAGATGCTCTCCAGCAAAGACAATCATTCTGAAAAGCATCTGCAATTTATTAGACATAAAATATTAAGTTGATGAATTAAATACAAATTAGCTTATTTTGAGATATTAAAAGTAAATAACTAACCTGTTGACAGTTGATACATTGGGATTTTCATATTCTCAGCTTTGCAAGTCTTTCCGAGAGCCTAACGTTGGAATCAGTTCTTTCTATAAGTAATAGCTTTATCAATTTAGGCATACTCACATCATCCTTGCACGTTATTTCAGACAACCCATATGATTCTTGAATATGCAGAACTTCAAGTTGCGGAAAGCTATCACCATCACCAGAGAGATCCATCTTTTCTTCATTATGTTTGCACCAACGCATTTTAAGTATCCTTAATTTGGGCAATTTCTTAAGCACTGCCACTACATGACCGTCTAGAATAAAGCGGTTAAGAGTAAGCTTGAAAAGATTTGGAGGGAATGCTTCACAGATCAACGGCATTAATCCGCTCAAATGCAATGCTTCAAAGTTCAAGGGCATTATTCTGTCCAAATGCAACTTAACAATATTTGGATACGACGACAAGTTTATTTGCTCACTCGTGTCCCTGAAAAATGACCCGAGCTTCAGAACCTCCAGTGTCGTTGGCACAGGGCTCAATGTTGATAATTTCTTAATGGTAGAATCGGATATATCCATTATACCCAGTTTTCTTAAATTCATCAATCGGTGCAACAATCTCGGTTCAAAAAAATTACCATCCATCCACATCAAAGTTTGTACATTATTAGGAGGCACGTTTGGAAAAAATGGGCTAAAGCAACAGATAGATGCTTCATCGAAATTTTTATGACGAAGATGTCTCAATTGTGTAGACTTCCAAACACCAGTAGGAGGATCAATGAAGCTTTCATCAATATCTAGGGTCTCTAGATGTTTGAGCTTCACCATATAATTTGGCAGTTTCCCCAAAATATGCCCCTTCAATCGCAGATAGCGTAAGCAACTCATGTTCCCAAATTTGTTTCCCATAGCGAAACCCCCATAACCATCTTGAGACATGACTACAACCAAAACTTGCAATAATTTGAAGTTACGATGAGCCATATGAGAAAATATGCAAGGGTCTTTTATGAAACAGAAAAGTGCACGAAGCTTCCTAGGCTTAGGATTTAAACGGAAGAACTCATTCATGACATTAATATCAGAGTAGAATGTAATCCTTCGCACCATAGCAACATTGCCGGGATCACCAAATGCATTGTGCTCCGTGTGAAAGAAGTTACTTTCCTTAGCCAAGTCCACACACAAACTATGTAACAAGTCATGTATGCGATAACTTGAAATTCTTCCATCATATGTCCTTTTGGCAACTTGAATCAAGTTTCTTGAAACCAAATCATTTAGGACATCCTCCGCCAAACTTTCAGCCTGTCGCCCATTGCCACTATTTACAACTATCAGCTTCTCAGCAATCCACATATTTGTCAAATCAAAGGCTCGAATTTCATGGTCCTCAGGAAAAAGGCCAAAGTACAAGAAACATGGCCTTAATGCAATGGGCAAATCATTGTAACTCAAAGTCAATACCTTAGCACATCCATCTTGAACTTTATGACCCATACTCTCAAGTACTCTGTTCCATGCATGTTCTGTTCTTTCTCTTGCCCTTAACATGCCTGCAGTAACCACAATGGCTAGTGGTACACCACCACATCTACCAACTATACTTCTACCAATATTTACTAAGTCAGGTGAAGCATTAGCCCAACTATTATTATTATCAAAATTAAAGATTTTCTTGCTAAAGAGTTCAAAGCTCTTCTCTGAAACTAAAGGTTGCAACACGTGGACTGAGAAATCCCCTCCTATGTATCTGCCTACATTACTATTTCGAGAGGTTAAAATTATCCTACTACCAATTTTTGAATCACATTCAGGAAGGACAAGTTTTAGATCATCCCAAATTTCAACATTCCAAATGTCATCTAAGAGAATAACATACCTTTTTATTTTCAAGAGTGATCGTAGGTTGTTCTCCAAGTTTTCTTTCCTTTCCTCTTCCGTCAGTCCAACTTGTTTGGCTATGTCGGTTAAGATTTCTCGCGCCCTTGGCTGTTGTGAAATGTAGACCAATCCCGAACACTCAAATTGATCACGGACAAGCCTATAAAGTTTCTTGGCAAGAGTTGTTTTTCCTAGACCGGGCATGCCAACTATTGAAACAACTCCATAAGGCAAATCTTGATCAAGTAATTTGGCTTGTAGTGTATTGAAGTCATCTTCCAGACCGATGACCTCTGTTTCATTTGCATGAAGGAACAATCTTCTCTGGTCCAATGGAATGCAATCATTGTTGTTATTTGTATCCATGATGTTGTAAGTTGTCCTTACACGATCAATGTCCGCAACCCTTCTTTTTATCTTCTCAATCTCCCTAGCAAACTCATCCGCAAAAGAAACCGTCTTTAGGCAACAAATTGCGCCCTTGAACTTATTGGATTGTTCAATTTTGGGAAGGAAGTCATCTAAGAGATCCTCCACATCACCTGCCAGTTGTTGAATATCTTTTATCAAGTTTTTCACACTTGTATCGCCTTCAATTGCCTTGTCCTTTGCGTTGTCTATGTATGATCGAATGTGTCTCATTTCTCTCTGGAGCCAATCGATGTCTTCTTTCAACCAATATAAACGCGTTCCTTCTTGAAAGAGTACATTTCCAGCTATTTCAACAGATTTATTGATGACTGCTGTGAGAAGAATTTCAGCCATTTCTTTTTCAGTAGCTACAAAAAATTGATCAGAATGAGTAATTAGAAAGAAGAAGATAATTGGTAAAGGAAAAGAAAGGTAAGCTTAGAATAGTTGGAGTCAACTGCCAAGTCTCCTAATAATGTCAAGTAAATGAAAAACGAAAGAAGAAAGGAACAACACATGCTCTGGATAAGAAACTGGTTGAATAGTCAAAGGAAATAACACCGTTCGTTCCAATTTAAATGTCATTCTATTTAATTCGATATAGAATTTAAGAAACAAACAGTGACTTTTAATATTTTGTGGCGGATTATTGATAATGTACCTTTTTAAAAAAAAAATTACGTAACTAAGCAAACATCTTTAGACAGTGGCGTACGCAAGATATTTCATAAGAGGTGTCACATTTTAAAATAAAAATAAATAATTAAAAAATTAAGATTTATTTTAGCATTTTTATGTGTGTAGCGAAATATATTTAAATTAAAAAAATTAACCAAGAAAGAAAAAGGCGGTATTGATGTTCGAACACCCAACTTCAAACCAGAAGATAAGTACCCTAACCTACTGAGCTACGCTCCTATTTGGTTTAAGGAGTGTCACTTTATTGTATTTGTTCTTTGTTTACAATTTGCTTTCCAATTATTTAGAATTATTTAATAAAAAAATTCGACGAAGCCGTGTCATGTGACACACCTTCGCCTAAGGTAAATCCGCCCTGTCTTTAGTATATAACTATCAATCACACCATATGTTAAAAAAATGTATTATATATCTAGACGCCATTTTATGTTTCCTAACTGTTTGATGAACGTCTTGCAAAACTTTGCCCAATTTGGTTCATGGCTGTGAGTTTGGGCTATTATGAGATTCAATTTGTATGTTCCATGAAAATTAGGCTTTTATGCAATTTGACTCTCTCAAAATCTTTTGCCATACTCATACAGAGTGGGCGTTCGGTTTGATATTTATTTAACTTTGATTTGATTTGGTCGTGAGATATCATCATAATGACTCGAGTAGAATGGTCGGAATTTCTTCACTTTTCTGATAAGGAGTGTTCTGTTCTAAATTTACTAATTCGACTAATTCAAATTTGTATCACGTAATACTGATTTGAGAAAGAAATACTTTTTATCCAAAAAAAAATCATTTTCAGAGCTCGAATTGATTTTTTTTTTTGGTTTCATTACGTGTAATTTTCAAGTCCTTGTGGTATCACAACACAGGTTAGGATATTTGGAGGTTATTTCACAAGGACTTACAACAAGAAAAGAAAAAAAAAAGATATAATTTGAGGAAAATATGAAAGTCTTGCATTAAAGTTAAAAAAAAAGTAGTAGTTGTTTGCTCGTGAAGTTCAAATATTTTTCACTAAAATTTATAGAATTGAAATTGAAAATAGAGTTAGGTTTAAATTATTTTTTTCTTGCGAATGAAAGAACCGAACGATTGGAGATTGGAGAATTTTACCATCAAACTGCTTTTGAAATAAAGTGAAAAATTATTTCGAAAAAAAATATAAATAATTCACATAACATCCTAAAATAGCTTTCTCAATCTCGACAATTGCTCATTTATAAACTACGGAAAATGGTCAAAATTGCCCCTGCACTATGTGAAATAGACCACTTATACCCTCCGTTATATTTTACGATAAAAAATGCCCGGTGTTATCCTAAGAGACCACAATTACCCTTAAGACTTAACAGAAATGATGCGGCAAGCCACATGACACTAATTCCGCCACCTAGGCTTGCCAACTAGGATACTCACTAAATTTTTTGACCCAATTAATAATTCAACCCTAACCCATTTTTGTTGGACCCAACCCACTAAAATTAAGAGGGAAACATCATCTTTTTTTCACCTCATTCCGTTTTACTATTAAATTCACCAAGGACGATTTTTTGAAGACTTTTACGAGCTTAGCTTACTTGGACCATGATTGTGTGCCGCCATAGATTTAAAAACTATGCTCTGGCACCATTCTATGCTTAGAAAGCTTGGGCTTGTGTTTTATGTGGCTTTCCAAAAAAATTTTGAGAAGCTCCACTTTTGTGATGATTATACCCCACAACCACAAGTTTCTACGTTTTTAGCTTGTCGTCTAGCGGATTAGCACTACGACAAATATAGGAGGGTGATTGATAAAATGTGAATACAAGATTATAAACATGTAGGGGCATATCAATGTTGCATCCATTTGTCTCTTACAGTGATGAATTTCAATGATTTTGGTTATAAAGTATAACACCATAGAACCATAAAGTTAAATTTTCAAGCTTATGTATCTTTTCTAGTCCATTGTGTCATTAGATTTTAAAGCTAGCATTCCTAAGGTAGAGATGTAAGGTAAACAAAATATTTTGCAGGCAAGAGAAACAAATTATATAAAAATCTTTTGCTTCCCCTGCTTATTTACAACTAATTTATCAATGAGTTATTACTTTAATTTCTTCCCTGGTTTTTTATAACTTCATCAATGTACATATATATATATATACTTTTGCCTTCATAAACTTTGGGAGGTTTACAACTCCTTAAAAAAACAGCAAATTGTTGTACCTTCTCCTCGTTAATACTGGGTTTGAAACAGAACATGTGGACTGCAGATGGAACGGTTAGTTCAACCTCATGGCTACAACCAAGCTTGAAGTATATAGAAGGTTTTGTCCTTACGATTTGGACAATATTCAAAACTTTCAAAATCTTTCATCATGACAAAACATTAAGGAGTGAGTACGTTCTGGTTGTTGGCATGTGATTAAGAGGTTAGTATGGATCGAGTTTTGAAAATAGACTCTTACAAAAAATACTAATAAAATTACATATAATAGATTCTTGTGATCCATCTCTTCTTTGGACTCCGCATATAACCGGAATTTAGTACACATGGTTAATAAGTTATTTATTTTTTTATTATCTTTTTGCATAATTGAGATGCCACTTTTGCTCATTTTATATTCCCTGCTAGTAGAATTTAAGAAGGTTTACATGATTTATCCACTCTTACAATCCTATATTTCAAGACCTGTATTATTTTTATTGACTAAACATGGATAATGATAACTACTGTCAATACTATTAAAAATGTTTTCCACGTTAGAGTTGTGGGTTCGAGAATAGCAGGCTTTAAATTTGGTAGTTGGAGAAATGCATTGCAAGTTATTTATAATGTGGTTCTATCGTCTACATTGAGGTGTGAATAATTTTGCAATAAATTATTCTATCCGTTTATTTTAACTTATTACATTTCGTTTTGAGATTCAAACTATATGAATTTGGATCAATATTTTAAGATGAATAATTTTGCAATAAATTATTACATCCGTTTATTTCAACTTATTACGTTTCATTTTTTGAGAGTCAAACTATATGAACTTTGATTAACATTTTAAGATGAATATTTTTGCAATTAATTATTCTATCCTTTTATTTTAACTTATTACGTTTCGTTTTTTGAGAGTTAAATGATATATATATGAACTTTGAGATGTATTTTTTCATCATATTAATATGAGAAAGATTGATCATATATAGTTTTTAAATATTTAAATTTAAAATTTAAAATATTGAGTGAATTTTATTCAATTTGACTCTCAAAGTTAATCAAATTAACTCTCATGAAACATGACAAATAAATCCATTTTCTTGGTTTTCCACCCGGTACTCACATCCAAATCGTTCCACGCATATTCAGAATTATGGAGTATTAAATGAAATATTTAGTTCATGAACTAACTAGTACAAATTTTTTAAAATCACCTTATCGAGCATATTAAATGTAAATAGTTAACGCAGTAAACTAACCTGTGAGATTTTCATATTCTCAGCTTTGCAAGCCGTTTGGAAAGACTTATTAGGGAACGGAGTCTTACAAGTAATAGCAATATTGCCGAGATCACCAAATGCATTGTGCTCGGTGTGAGAGGTTGCATGAAATTTCTTAGTCTAGCATTTCTCATTTGTATATCTTTTACGATTCTATCTATTAATGATTTTTGTATATATTTGATTGACATATTTCTATATTTTCCAACCCATAGGTATTTGTATAATATTTTATATTTATGCAAATCATCATATAAGCAAGAAATCCGAATCAAAGAGTAAATATATCAAAATTTTCAAAAAGATACCATACATACACCACAAATAAGGTCTACTTTTTTCTATTGAGAATAAGATTTTAATTTTATTACTCCATTAATTAAAGATAAATAAACATAAAACAAAACAAAGAGAAATACAGTATTAATTTGTTTTTACAAATCACAAGCAATTAACTTGAAACAGCAATCAAACTTTTTCTCTTATTATTAGTATTATAATACCAACAGGCATCAGAAGATTCTCTCCAACACAGACTTAAATCATTTTCAAAGGCATCCCTGCAATTTATTAGAGATGGAATATTTAGTTGATGAACTAAATACAAATTTCAAAAAATCATGGATATTAAACGTAAATAATTATTTATAGTACCTGTGAGATTTTTATATTCTCAACATTGCAAGCCGTTCCGAGACCCTGAGACTAATTGGGGAATAAATGAATGGGCCTTGTACAAGTAATAGCTTTTTCAATTTAGGCATACTCATATCATCCATGCACGTTACTTCAGACAACCCTTGTGCATCCTCAATATGTAAAACTTCAAGTTGCGGAAAGCTATCACCAGAGAGATCCATTTTTTCTGCATCATGTCTGCACCTAAGCAATGTAAGTATCCTTAATTTGGGCAATTTCTTAAGCACTGCCAATAGATGACCGTCTACCATCAAGCCGACAAGAGTAAGCTTGACAAGATTTGGAGGGAATGCTTCAATGTTCAAGAGCATTGCTCTGGAACCAAACAAAACCAATTTGACAATATTTGGATGGGACGACAAGTTTATTTGCTCACTCGTGTTCTTGAAAATTCTGAGCTTCAGAACCTCCAACGCTTTAGGCACAGGGCTCAATGCTGATAATATCTTAATGGTAGAACCGGATACATCCTTTATACACAATGTTCTTAAATTTATCAATCGGTGCAACAATCTCGGTTCACAAAATTTATCATCCACCCACATCAAAGTTTGTAGATTATTACGAGGCAATGAGTACACGTTTGGAAAAAATGGGTTTATACAAAAGTAATTGTAAGGTGCTAGATTATAACCTATAGAACGAAGATGTCTCAATTGTGTAGACTTCCAAACACCA